ACATATATACATATAAACATATATATTTGTTATGTACGATCGGTGATTAGCAACATATTTACGTGCGTGGAATCAATTTGCAATGGCAATAATAATCGCTATAGTCTCTGGCAACACGTGAAAATATCAAAATCGGTAGCCACTATAGGTACCTACTACAAACAGCAGTATGATAACAGTGTGAGTTAAAGAATAATGAATCTATAATACCCAAATTATACACTCGGAAGGTAGCTAATGGTTGCTATTATGGATCAAACCAAACAGCACCAGATCGGAGCAACATCGGTCATGGAAGGTTAGTGCTAGTCTTTTGAACTTCGCGCAGAATGATGACAAGCTGACAAGAATTTGAGTCGCAATGTTACTGCATGTACATATGTATTTATTTATCTTTTTTCAAGCTATCATTTTAAAATCAGAAACATGTGCACATGAATGTATTTATTTTTCAAGTATTGTTCGCTTCGCATTAGTGACTTCTAAGCGGTTATCAGCGGCTTTGACCACTTGTCACTTATCTATGACGTATTTTCGCTGCGTTTTATAATTTGTATACCTTTCATGAGCATAAAATGGTATACTAACTTTGGTCAGGTGTTTGTAAGTACCAGAATAAGAAGAGATAGACCCATGAAAATGTAATCGGACCATTATAACATATAGCTCCCATACAACTGATTGTTCAGATATTTGAGATTTTTCGTTATAACTCCTCCATTTATGAAATATTTTAATAATTTATCAATAGAATACTTACAGTGAAAATGACAAAGAACGGGTCACTATAACCTATAGCCCCCATACAACTGATTCGTCAGATATGGGGTTTTACTGTAAAACTCCTTTATTTGGACAGAGAAATTTCGTGAGCTATTTTCTAAATAATCATACAAAGTCTGCTGAGAAAATCGTCAAAATCGCTGCTGAATACCACTGATTGTTCAGATACAAGTTTTTGCGATATAACTCCTTTATGTATTTAATCAAAGTACAATTTTCTGATGTTCATGAAAGGTATAAAGCCTTCGGCATAGTCAAAAACAGCGCCGCTCTTGTTAAGATTTATTTTATAGAAATGGGACATACATATGTATGTATGTATGTATGTGAAGTCTTCCTAAACGAAAATAACAGCATGCACAGGGTCATACGACAGTTGCGTCTACGTAACCAGAACTGTCCAAATGTATAAGTACACAGTTTAAATTAGTTGTAGTGAGATAACAATTCTACAATTCTGCATACATATTTTCAAAACTTATACGGGCCTGTTCCGGGTTTCACAAATTTTTATACCCGAGCCCACTTGTGCACTTTATGTATACATACTTACATACATTTGTAAGAATATACATACAAAATTTGTCAGAATGAAAATAGAAGTGTATTAAGCCATGTCTGTCTGTCCGGCCGTCGGTCCTTCTGGTTTTCTTTTATCCAAGATAGGTTGGTATTGAAAATGGGAAAAATCGGACCATAACAACGCCCACCTCCAATATAACGGTATTTTTTGGAAAAATTCGAAAACAACGATATTTCCGCAAATACTGAACCCAAATTGTAGAAAGTTGGAATGTGAAGTAGAACTTCGGTGTAAAACAAGACGTTTGTTTTGAAGTGTTTTGAAATTTTTGGAAAATGAGCGTGGCCGCTCTGTGTCCCCACCAAAACCAATGCGAACATTTCTTAGTCTCACTAGGAAATCCGTTGAAATTTTTCGGGCAAGAATCACCGCCTACCTCCCATATAACGGTATATTTCAGAAATACGAAAACTCATATATTTTAATAATTAAAGACCCCAATTTTATCCAACTTAAATCAATCTTTTAACAAGAAACAAGACCATAGATTTTTGGAAAATGGGCGTGACACCACCCACTTATAGTGTATATCGATAACCGCTTTATCGATTTCCACTAAACTTCGTCCTATACTTTTGTTAGCTTTTGATCGAGTTTTTTTTTTAATATATTTTTATTGTTGTATGCCAATTACTTCAAAATGTCATAGCTAATTCTTGAAATTACTTCTTTCAAGACTAATGGTCGCTTTTGTTGTTATAACTGATTGAATTCTTCGACGCTTTGAGGAATACCGCTGAGGTTACAGTTTTTGGACAAAAGTAAGGAACTGGCAAATTTTTACTGATACATTTTTTACTTACAACAATCTGCCAGTAAGAAAACCACTGATCGCAGGTTGCTGTGTGCAATTCAAACTAATAAACGAACAGGGTTTTATAATTGGAAATTCGCAAAATAAACCTTTTAAAATATAAAATAATATATGAAATAATATATGAAATACTGTTTTTCTAGGACTAATCTAGTAAGCCAAGTTAAGGTGACTTAAGAGCCCCTATCAAAAATAAATTTAGCGTTTAAATAAATGCCTTTTGCTAGCAACTTTTGACAGAACTTTTTGTTAATATTCTTATGCGGCCAGTGTCCAAATACATATGTATGTACATATGTATGATGTAGCTTCTCTCCATTCTCTTTTTACGTGTATATACCTACATAATAATTCTCGGGTTATTTGTATATGTATACATATGTATCTATGTGCGTGAGGGACAGCAGAGTGCTCGAAGCTGCGCAATTTCATCGAAACATGGGTCAGCAGTAGCACCTCCACGGCTTTGAAGCCAGCTTTTTTACCTTCTCAACAAGCACAGAAAACCACATCCTACACGTTGAACAAGCATTCTGCATTTTATATTATTTTGTTTTGCTTTACATATTCGTTTTGATTTCCTCATACTACGTTTTATTGCGTCTGCTCGAATGTGTTTTGTGTAAGAGGCATTGAATTTGTGGCGATATGAGTACATAACATTGCATTTTTAGGTTTAGGGTTTAGGTTAGGCAGGTTTTAGGGGTCTTATAAAAAATATCTTATAATATAATGGTTAAATAAACAATTGAGTATTGTTACTACAAGTCTCCTGAAGAGAAACAAAGTTACCCAATCGAAAAACATTGATTTCCAAAAATTATATTTCTAACATTTCTACAAAAACTTGTTTTTTTTTCATATAAAATATATGGAAATTTTTAAGCGCTTTGAGCACCTAAATATTTTTTTGATTTCAAAATAAATATGTATATGTGACCTGGTCTACGGAAAGGGGGCTTAGGTGTCAAAAAATCAATTTGCACTTTTTGGTTGATTCGGATGGAAGATGAGATGCTTTTTCACGTGGAGAAAAGCAGAAAATCCTAACTTGCTTAGAAGTGTACTAAAAATGTAGAGAAAGAAGAGTAAAAATACGACAAAATATAATTTATTACATTATACAATTACAATTACAAAATGTAGAGAAAGAAGAGTAAAAATAAGACAAAATATAATTTATTACATTATACAATTACATTATACAATTACAATTACAATTACATTATGTATAACAATTAACGAGATAATGAGAAACTGAGAAACTGACGAAACGAGTTGCTTACTTTTAACAGCTTTTTCACAGAAAACTAGTTTTCGCACGTAAGCTCCCTTTTCGTAGACCAGGTCACATATATTTTTTTTCGGTGAGGAACAATCCTAGCAGGTGGCGGTATTAAAATTCCAACTTTACTTTTTTTTTTACCACCCTAATGTGCAAGCTATATATTTTGTGCATACATATGGATTAACGTTTTTAAGTGCGTATTTCACTAAACTAAAAAGTGAAAAATTCATTTAATAAAGTATTTATAGGGAATGATTAAATCAATCCTCAAAAATTTGAGAATGGTAGTCATGAAAAGTTGATTATCGAAGGCTGAAAAACACATTTGTAGAAAAAGGCCAACAGGAACTTACTTGATCAAATAGCCTAAAATACCAAACACTAACAAATTCAATAAATTGATCGTCAACTCATCGTCATATTGGCCAAATCTAATGTTTTTGTTTCTGTTTGAAAAACTATAAAAAACTTTAGTTCTTTTGTGGGGATTTTTTTTAAATTGAGAAGACGTTTAATGGGAAATCTGATTTTGAAATGGACTTCCAGGTTAAGGTATTAATATGTAATACATACTTATAATAAACTGGCGCTTGCACAGTGTGTTAGCGGTCGTAGATATGTAACTTTAAATTATATGATAATAACCAACAACTCGTGAATAAAATATTTGTGAGAACTATACGACACATATGACCTTAGCATTTGTCTACTAAACCAGAGCCTTGGCACCATTAACTTTTAACAAGAAAAGAAAAAAACTTAAGCTGTATAAACATTTGTGAAAAACTATTTGTTTACATTAACAGTGCCAAGTAATGAATCTCTAAAAATACGTCACCATTAATTAGCGCACGGCAATCGCATCAACGTTACCTAGCAGACCTAGTGAATGTTATAATCAATTTAAGTAGGTGCATATGTATATTTTTCAACAAGACAACGTGTGTGCCCAAACCATTTTCTACCAAATTTAAACTTTGTATGTACATACGTACATACACACATGCATACAAATATACATATGTACTTGCAGGCATAGTATGTACACATGAGATATATGAGAGGCACATTGTTGACTCTATTCAGTGTTATCCTGCATTGCAAAAGACCTTCAATGCAGCAGAGCTGGCACAATACTTTTGTTAGTCCCAGATAGCCTCTTTCGCAGCTACACAACACAATTGGGTCAAAGTCGCAAAATGACCTTGGACCTCTAACGGACCTGCCGCTTTGATTGAAAATTTAAACAAAGAGATAACAGCATACGTTGTATGTAGGATTTGATTTAAAAATGTAACGCCAATACAATTAGGTATATCCTGGGCTGAATGTTTGTATTACTACCTAGTGTAGAGATAAAATGTGAATTGAAACATTAAGTACATAGTTGTTGTATGCAGTTAGGTTATTTTTCTTTACAATATTCTAAGCACGACTTCCGGCCGTGGAGGGTACTATAAGCCAACGGCGTGCTTGTTAGGCTACGTGCCCACATGTTCAAAAACCGGGCAAACAAGCTAACTTTAACTTACCCGCGTTTATAGAAGTGTGTCTTGAATCGTTAGCCAGTGTTGGTCGCTGCCAGAGTATCAGCCACTATGTACATATATGTATGTATGTATATATATCTGGCCTTTCTTAGAACTGTATTTGTGTCGACGCAACGATTGGCGTTAATTTAATTAGAATGTAAGAAGCAAATTATATTACGTTTTCGCTCAAAAGAAATCGATGTCGTTTGGCCCCTGGCCCATAAACATGGTGACGACAAATTCGCCAAGCTAAAAAATTACCCAAATCGCCACTTAAGCAGTACAACAGCACAAGTTTTTGACGGTCGTTTTGCGATGCAATTTGTTTGGCCTAGTAACGACAGGCGTTGCTGTCGTTGGATGCACTTTGGTTTTTTACAGCTGCTTGCTTTCCTTAATAAGCTTCGATTTTTCCAAATTATAATTTGTCAGATTTTCGACTTTTGATTTGGAATTCACTTCGATTTTAACAAAAACTTGACACTATTTTTTAATCACTTGTCTTTAATGGCGCAGTTTACTTCGCTTCCAAATTTTTTCACTTTTCCGATTCCTCTTTGGATCTCGTTGATTTACTCATAGAATCCAGTTTTTTACTTGGGAAAAGATCATGTGCCATTCCGAAAAATGGATTTTTCTTCAATGTTGTTACACAAATCCAACCCAGGACAAGAACTGCGCTTGATTTTGTGAAAATTCATATTTCTAATTTCCCAACCCAATCAATTCACTCGAACTTGCTTCTGATTCTGTCTATCCACCTATGTATCTATTATTTATTATTATTTGCCAATACAACAAAACAAACAACACAATTTCAGTTCTGCTATCTGCTGCCATTCGTTGCTAGAATTGCAAACTATGCATCGATGTTTCTATAATATCGATAACATCAATGCAAATTCGATCTTTGCTATGGAAGTTTTAAATCGTTTAACGTTGAGCAGGAAATTGTGCCGTTCTCACGGCAGTCGGGGCTAAGGACCTTCACTGCACCATTATTCTCCAAAAACTCTCAAAATTTATACGTTGTCACAAATAAAACAGCTCATTATCTGTTCTAATATGTGCTGTTAACTAATAATTTTTTAACTATTAACAAGAGACTGTAAAATTCTGGGGCCTGTAAAATATTTGGGCTTATATACGTGTTCTTAGAATTAAAAAAAATAGGTCTTGTAAGTTTTTTTATGCATTTTTATACTTTGCCTTATCCTGAGTTTCGCCCGAAAAAAATTCACCCACAAATTTTTATTCCGCCTACAGTAAATACATGGACACCAAAAGTAAAAAGTGAACCGGTTCGGTGAAAATGAAACTCATGATAAGTCTGACTAAATACGGGAACTGAATTATTGAAGAATGCTTTCGCCTAGATTGAAAATGATTTAATTTTCCTTTAAATTTAAGTAGAACTTATACTAGATTCACTAATAAGTAGTTTATCCTCATTTTCGAGCTTAATTCCTTAACCCGTAATTAGAAAAGGAGATTAGCCATACAGAATTCGTCCCTTGTTAATCTGTAATTATAAAATAATCTCAGATTAAACCGATAACTCTTCGGAGTCCTCCTATTTTTATCGATTATTTTTGCAAAGAAGAGGAGAAATAACAATTGTAAAATAAAGATTGCCGATGATGAGAAATCATCGATTTTTTCATCGGTGTTAACATCGGAAAGTCAATATCAATGCTCGATTTTCCTCGATCGAAAATCAACGATTTTACACAATATCGATATCATTTAAAATACGCATTTGTTCCCATTCTCATCAGAAGTAAGTAGTTCTATTGGAAGGGTTCACACAATTTTTAACATTATTTGTTCTCATGGAAATCATATGTATGAGTTTCAGATTTGTTTAAAAAAATGTTATTAAAAAACTTAAAATAATCTGAGATTTGCCTATGTAAACGTGTTTTAATTGAGATTATATTTATATGTAATAGTACATTTCCACTGCTCTGAAATCTGAGATTTGGCGAAATCTTTCGAAACCCTGTAGGATTTCCCATATGTTTTCTTGATTGCGATTTCTAAGATTTCAGTCAGATTTCAACGAAATCTTATCGAAGTCCTTTTTTTGTAATACGAACAACCTTTAGATACTAAAAAGTTCAACCCTGCAGACTGGTTCACTTGAAATGTCAAAATTCTCAACATAGACAAAAGCACAAAAACACAAAAACATATTAGCAAATGTCAACAAAATCCAAAGAAAGTGCGGTGGAAATACATAGGGGATTTTAAGAATTCGAGGTCGAAATTTCAGCTTTCAGTTCTTGATGTTGATTTCCCCGACGCACCAAAACATCGATGTATCGATCTTACTCCAAAAAAGTTGCTTTTCTATTCATTGTGCTGCCGTACCGATTTTTTTTTGCAGTTTTATGTATTTACTATTTGGTACCAAAATGCACAAAACGGACGAATATAAATCGGTATAGGGCCCAAAGGTTTAAGAAAAGAAGTGGCGAATATAACCATGGCTGCATTCAGAATTCTATTGTTCTATTGTGATTGTTCTATTGTGCACAATTGTAAAAACTGCGTTGTATATTCGGCCGTTATTTAATTTAATGCGGTTGTTTTTTATATTCAGATCGCATCGTGGGAAATGTCTTGCTAAATTCATAATAGGGGTCTTCATCAAAAGTGGTAAACTCTTGATAAACTTGATAAAGGAATAAATTTATCATTTTGATAAATGAACTGTCAAATTTTGTATGGAAATCTATTTAACCAAAGTTTATCACTTTATCAAACGTCTTTGGTGGATAAATGTATAAATTTCAGCAAAACTCAAATATTACAGGTCGCCAGGTAATCGCTTTTGTTACGAACACATACACATTTACGAAGGTGCGTTCATGAAAGAATGCGGATAAACTGATAAATTCAAGCAATTTATCCCTTAATCGCTTTAGATGCAGACCCTAATATTTTGTACCGATTACAAAAAATCTATTACGTTTTTAAGTTTCGCAGCTTAGTGGCACCGATAAGTAAGTTTTGTTGTCTTCTTTTCCACGTGTTTATCTATTTTGTTTTGGGAACTCATTTGAATCGTTTTAGCACGAATTTTGTTTACTTTTTCCATAAAAATATACAAAAATAATATTTAATGTAATGGTTAAATCAATCTCATTTCAAGCATTTGATGAATGATGGCTTTCGAACAAGCGAATAGTAATTCTGAAGACATTGCAGGTTATGCCAAATCAGGCGAAGTGATGTCCAGTATTTTCGAGGAAATTGAGCAGCTGCTTCAAAACAATAAGGTTTCTAACAAAACACCCTCAAAATGTATAAACTAATTCAGTTTTATACTTCACAGGGTTTAGAAATATCTTCAAATGCAAAACAAGTCGAGGTAAATGAAGTCACACATCCCACCGACTTAAATGATGTGGAGGACACCGCACACCAAACAGCAGTTCTGAATAGCTATGCCGAGTCCGAGAATGCAACTTTGAATTTCCTGTCAACATGCGGAAACCATGGATTTCTCATTTCGGCAGACACACAAACCTTACCGGAAGAAGAACTCTCGCTGTTTTCCGTGAATCAAAACGAATTGCAGCCCGTAAATGCTCCATTTATGGTACCAGGCATTTACAAGAAGATTGCCAATTCACCGGTAGCCACAACAGAAACTATACCACAATATGCTGCTAAAGAAGGGACTAATGTGTTTTTCGCAACCAAAACCTCCAAAGGGAAAATTGTTTCACGAACTGATTTTGAAAACTGTTCGATTGCAGAGGACTCCTATGAGCACCATTCAAACACCGCTGAAATATTTAATTCGATAGAAGCAAAACCAGAAAGTACAATAAATTTGGCATCGAACATATTGCTGAAATTCGCCAGCCACATTTACAAGTCTGCGCGAAATGATCGAATAGTAATTGATAGGTAAATTTCGGATAGAATATTTTAGTAGTTAACTATGTTAATAAATCTTTTTAGGAAAAAGAACGAAATAGTACGGACACGCGCTGTTAGCAATCAAAAAGTAGTATATCGTTTACTGGGACCAGAAGAATTAAGCCTGAAAACAAACTCTGTTCCCAACTTTATGCCTGCTAGCCGAGAAAACAAGCAATCTCCTAAAGTTAAAAAAGGGCGCCCCAGAAAGAACGCCCCGAATGATAGCGAAAATCCTCTACCACAATCATCTTCTAAAAAACTAAAACTCGCCAATGGTGACAGTTTTCAACAACCGTCATTACGGACACGGTCTGGCCGGGTGGTGAAGTTAGTAAAACCGCAATTAAACTGTACAAAGATTATTGAAAATCCAGTCGTGCAAACCGAACAAGTTGAAAGTTTAGTAAATGATGCAAAAGATAAAGATTTTTACTGCAGCTTTCAATCAATTACTTTGCCTACCAAATCGGATGATTTTTCAACACCGCCTATCTCTAGCTCTCCTACGCAAAAGCGACGAGTACCACCCGAGTCGATCTGTCCCAAATGTGGCAAGATATTTTTAGGACGCCGCCTGCAACGTCATTTCACACAACATCCAGATCATATGCTTGCACAAAGAACTGAAGACTCAACAGTACAAGAGCCAAAGCGGCAAACTGGTATTGCAAGTCCCACCGAAGATATGACACTATTCAGATTTCTAATATCAAAGCTGCAAAAACCACTACTCAACGAAGATCAGCGTGCCGATCTCTTTCTAAATGAACTAAACGATCTGATTGAGCAATTGCAGTTACGTTGCACAAGGCTAATACGCAACACTTCGGGATTACATTTTGTTAGTGCGCGAACAGCGCGTGTACTAGGTATTCCAGAGGGCCAATATGCGCTCGATATGAGCGCTATAGATACTGAAATGCCCCTGCTGGATACAGAACAAAATTGTGTGAATGGAGAAGAATTAAAGCGTCATCAAATTACACCCCCAGTAGTTACTGTAAATACGCCGAGCTTAGATTACACTGCAATAAGTTTAGATGACACACTAACTGACGAAGCCGCACAGAAGTTAAATCTCTCAGCCGGTGGCAAGCTACTGCCACCGTCTGAAGAAAGTCTTTTGCGTGCTGTGGATGATCTTGTGCATGACGGTATAACCAAATTAGTGGATGCGAATCTGCTACATCCGCCACGTACAGTTGTGCAATCATCGGGAACTTCAACATTAGTACCGCACTACGATCATGTGAGCGACAACGCAGTGGAAGCGTTAACTATCAAAGAGAATAACGCAATGCAAGGAGGCACACCAATCCTAGACTTATCAGTGGACTTTTTTCAATTCAAGAACAACTGAAGTTAGTATTAATATATGTATGAATGTACATATGTAAATATATAAACCCTACAAAACATTTTTTCAGCGAATTCTGAATTGTAAAGAAATTTTAATGAATTTGTGAAGATATTTTGCCGAATTTTCTATAATGAAATGAACTGTGCACACTTCGATTATTTTACAAAATTTCGGAAGAAAATCGGTAAAGCAATGAAAATAATGCAGCTATGTGAAGAATTTCTTGGCGAATTTTTTAGAATTTTTGTTTATTTTTCATACAGAATTTTTTTAAGAGTTCCTGTCAACCACTTCGTATAATTTTCTGTGAAGAAAAAAACGTTACAGAAATGAGATACTCCTAAAGATTTCGTTAAGATTTAGGAAACTTTGGTTTGCAGGAAAATTGCATAAAACCTGAAAAATGTTGAAAGAAAAATAAATTTAACTACAAACAACTGAAGCTTAACTCGCATTTCTCTTAGTTTAAGACACCTCCATGCATTACTTAAGCTCAAATATATATTCCTCATCGTTTTATGTTGGGCGCATGACCCAACGGCACGTCTACACCCGTACAGTACTGTGCCGCGCCAGACCTTGGACATGTAGTGTCTGCCGCCGAAACATCCACCACCCGTCCACCGCAGACCGTTACAACAACTGCAATAACTGGTGTCATCTGAAAGCATGCTCGGGTTCCCGGCACCACAGGGAGTGGAATGCTTAATTTGTTGCATCGTGCAGCAAAACCCACAGCTAACCCAACACTCCAAACAAACAGCACACGCCCAACCACCAACCAATGGACCAGCACGCAACTCAGGGTATCCATTCAAAGCAGATGGATCTGCAGCGTTTACGACAACCTGTTAAGGCGTAATACCACATCACACAGTGGGAGAAATCACGAAAAAGCTGACTATATATATTAAGAATTTGGACCACAAGCTTCATTAGTGAATATTAGTATAAGGTGTTAATATAAACAAAATCCGCCCACGAATGCGCCAATTTCCATGTAAAGATGTTTTTTAAAAACTCAAAGTGTTATATTTGAGAAGCACCAGGAAATAACCAAAGGTGATAGAAGCTTCCACTTAGTCTTAAATTGAAGCTGCAACTCTCGACTACTGTCCCTGAAAATACCATCCCTGCATCTTGACCCAAAGGTAACTTATAGCCTTTTATTAGACAGAAAAAACCGATTTTAACAACAACTTTTGAAGTGAAACTTCTTTAGCGGTGGTTGGTTGGTTGGGAGTAAATTGGCAAATTCAGCGGAAATTGCACACGGAAATGGTGCAACGGAATTGGTTGGGACGGAAACAACTGCTTCTTGAATATATGTTGTTAATTTAACAAAAACTTGCTAATAAAAGGTTAAAGAATAACCCCCTTATTCATAAAAAATAAAACAGGTTTATAAGGCTGTTATAATTGAAAATTTGTATGGAAATGTTCATTAAAAAGCTTTATAAACCTTCAATATTTTTTATGAATAAGGGGGTAACACTTTGAAAAAGACCAATAAAAGTATGAAAGCTGAGTACGTACATAAATAAAGAAAATGATAAAGGTAAAGGTAAAAATAAAAACAAAGATGCGTAAAGATGAAGCCAAAAATGAATACCAAGGTAAATTTAGACGAAGATAGAGGAAGAAAAGTTAAAATAAAGGTAATTATAGAGAAAACGATATACATATGTAAATAGAAACACAGAGACTCAATGTGGGAACTATTTTGGGATTTTAAAGCTTTTCGGGATTCTAGGGATTTATCGATATAATAATCGATATTTTTATCTGCTCTATTATCGATATTGTTATCGATTATTTATAGATTTTGTTCCTAATTTTGTTATCGATTATTTGTCGATTTAGTTACCGATATTTTTATCAATTTTGTTATCGATATTTTTATAGATGTTTTTAGCGATTTTTGTTAACGATTTTGCCACCGATTATTTATCGATTTTGTTGTAAATTTTGTTATCGATTATTTTTCGGCTTTATTATCGATATTTTTATCGATTTTGTCAACGATATATTTATCGATTATTGATTTTGTTATCGATATTTTTATAGGTTTTGTTAGCGATATTGTTATCGATTTTATAATCGATTTTGCTACCAATATACTCATCGATTTTGCTATATAAATTTTTTATTGAATTTGTCATCTATTATGTTATCGACAGTGTAAAAAGATAAAAATGAAGATAACATAAATGTAATTAGAACGAATGGGGTATAGGTAGGGATCTAGATAGAAAAAAAAAATATAACCTTAAGCAAAAGCAGATAAATACATAAATACATAAATATCGTCGCTTAAAGTACAAAACCGCGTATCGTCATTCTGCAAAACCGCATAACTGACAATTGCTGCCAAAAATTGCATAGAAAATTTGGAGTAAAGGCGCTTAGCACTTAAACCACGGAAATATTGAACGATCATAACTAATAATGTATGTGCATTAAATTTTTCAAATGCTTTAATGAATTATTGTACTTAGGGCCGGTTTCTCCATCTCTGGTTAACACTAACTCCCCGGTTAAACATTGTTATCGACGTTCTAACTCCATGCATATAACAGGGAGTCGATAAGGTCGGTAACGATGTTTACCGGGGGATTAGTGTTAACCGGAGATAGCGAAACCGGCCCTTAAAGAAATAAAATACTAGCGAATACCTGAGAAGGGATATTATATGTTTTTGTTAGACTTTTTTCTGTCAGCTTGCTAAGGATTGCGATAATTTATGGACGTGTGTTATTGTACAACAATGATGGATTCAATGCGTCGGTAATGTGTAAATATTTCGAAATAAAAATTGACACATACACATACACGCACGCATGCAGGTGAAGGTGTTGCAACACATTACCGTAATTGACAATATTTTGCTATCAGACATTTGCAAATGTTAAATGTAAGAACTATCCCAGCCAGCATTTGCAAACGTAAACGATTCGGAATCGAGTCTTCTTGGCGCCAAACTAACTGCGTGTTTAGAGTCGCAGCGGGGAACGAAAACAAGTTACTTACGGTTTCCATATTAATTTGTGATTTAAAATTTATTAAAAGTTTACATAACACTGTGCGACAATTTCAAGGTCACTGTCTGCGGGGGGAATGATTCCAACTCGGGACGAAAGACCTAGACCATACAATAAAACCTCCAAATCTTTTTTCATTCTCACGATAATTTTTTTTTTTTTATGGCCATACTAAGTTTGCAATTTTTTGTCTGAGTGCTTTTAGAATAAATAAGTAGAAGAAAGAGTTAAAATTCATATCGGAGCGATATATGTATGTCTGTAGCTTCGGTGCATATCGACTGCTGAGTGGAAGATCGACCTATCTCGGCAACCAGTTCGAAAACGCCCTATCTCAACATATTTTTCATTTACTCTCAGTTCAGATAGGGCGTTTTAGAACTAATTTCTGAAATAAGACGTTCTTGAAAAGCTTTCTGAGATAGGGCATTTTCGAACTGGCTGCCGAGATAGGTCGATCTTCAACTCAGTAGTCGATATAGTGTTATTTCAAGAGGAATAATTTTGTAGCTAATTTTAACCTATTAGGTCTCTAACGAAAGGGTCGTTTTGACAGTTTTTTTTTTGGAAATTCCTAACAAACTGCATTTAAGAGGTTACCAGAGGGTTAAATTTCTTTATGCAAAATACGTAAAAAAGTGCGCAGAAAAAAGAGCAATATGCAAAGTTTTTTTTGCTTTCTCTTATATTTTGTTCAAAACTATAACTCCATCTCTGTTCGATGATGATGGTTCCGGGCTTCGGTCATCAGAAGCTATCATCAGGACCTGAGTCATACATGATGCCTACATGCGGCTCCACTGTTAGCCTTACCTACTGCTGCTTTTTCAAATTCTTCATTATCAGGATCTTCGAACACATGCTTATAGCATAGATAAACGGCAACATAAATCCGCATTAACGGCGGAAATGATGTGAAGATGCGAGGTCGTGAGTTCTACCCCAAAGCCGCGAGTTTTTTTGGTTGGTATTTTTAGATTCATCAAATATTATTTTTATTTCTTTTAAATGTAATTATAGTTAATGCGCTATGATTGCGATACTGGTGCCCCAAGCCCGAACCATCACCATCGAAAAGAACTAAAGTTATAATTTTGAACAAAATATGAGGGAAAGCATAAACAAGTTGGTTAAAATTTCCAGAGGACATGGTTGTCTTATATATTTTGTGGACTCTTACGTTATAAAAGCATTAGTATGAGAATACCCGTAGTGAAATTTTTCGGCGAATAATTTTCTAGAATAACCCTCTGGCGATCTCCCATATATCATTTTATTCAGACTTTCCAAACAACACCACACATCGTTCCATTTTAATATATGTACCTAAACTAAAAAAAAAAATATCGGCAAAAATCTTAAACTTAATTTGACTAAAAAAATATGAACTGAGGATGCAAAAATGCATGATCTTTCATCTTAAGTTGGAATCATTCACCCCAAAAATGCTGTTGCACTGTGTAATCAGTATAAATCATTAATTTGTATGGACACATTTTATATGTGTTTTTACTTAAGTGTTAATAACTTCAACATTTATTATTCAATTTGGATAACCTGGGTCTTATTGCATTTGAAAAAGATCATAATTTGACGTCCTAGTAATAAACCGGAGGTAAACAAACTTTTTGATGTTGATTTTTGTAGCGAAACTTATAATTTTTTAAATTGGCTAATCGACGTATAGCTCCTGAACGCTAATCGGGTTGGAAAATGTTGGCGACGTCGATGAGAGTAATTTTAATAATAAAAAAAAATTTTTCAGAACTCAAAAACAAAAAAAAGGAAAAAATCTAAATATACTTACATACATACATATGTATGTATCTCAAAATCTCTTACACTTTTTTATATTTTGACTTCATATTTAGATAAAGCGGAACATTTTTCCGCAGAAATGATGGTCAAATGCAACAGGTCGGGATTTTTTTTTATTTCTGTGAACTTGTGTTATCCTCAAACAATCCTCTAAGCATGCGATTCGCGAACGATTCGAGATCTCATAAATTACCAAATGATCCTCCAAATGCTGGCTGGGGTTTTGTATTTCAAATCAATGTATGTATGTATACAGGGATGAGTTTTCATACATACATACACATATCCACACGTAGTACGTATTACATCCATTTACCTTAGCATCATTGAGTAGAATTAAAAGCTTTTTTATCCAGTTACAATAGTTAGTTAACGTTTAGTCAGCCACAATGGAGGGCTGTCTGCGGTGTTGTGTTCGAAGCGCAAGTCCCCAAAAATGGGCTATCAAGTCTACAGAAAAAGTAAAAAGTACACAATGCAAATGCAATACTTTGCGTCGCGTTTTGGCAAAAAATACAGATGAGTTTTGTAAAAATACAACATTACATGGGCTGAAATATGTAAACAACCGTTTGTTACACCCCGTTGAGCGGTGTGTAAACGTTTGAAATTTTAAATGTCTGATTATGGCAACTTAAGTTAACTTAACGTAACTAAGAACTTAAAAAATCAAAATGAAACAGGCTGCGACGTGACATGAATTTACGTTAAGTTTCGCCCGTCCAAACATAAGCAACATTCATTAAAGAGAGAATTTTTGAGTGACAGCCTCTAAGTTATGTTAAGTTGCCATAATCAGACCTTAAAAATTGTACTTTACTTTTCGTTTAATTTTTATTTTCCTTACAACTCCAGCGCATTTTTCATTGTCTCCGTCTTAGCTGCTTGCATCATATCGATTTTCTACATAATGAACGTCTACGACAAATGGGCTACAACCCCCGTTATCGTTGGTATAAATCCAAATCCGAATTTCGTTACAAATATCCCGTTTCCAGCTGTGACTATTTGCAACTTGAATCAGGCGCTCAAAGCAAAGGCCATGGAAGCGAATAAGTAAGTTGAGCCCGTATCCAGGTTAAATAATTGTTTTCATACTATAGTCCAAAAAAAAAGAATCGGCAGAAAACTTTTTGTGTCCCGCCCCGCCTTTGTATACCATAACAGCTCCTAACAACCACGAAAAACCCGGGAGTAAAAAGTTGCGAGTTTTTAAAAACTATTCCGCCATCTTGAATTTCATGGTCAGATTCGTAATCATCGATCCAAAATACCTGACATTAAATTTTTAGGTCCATCCCACCGGCAAATTTTTACAGACCGTCCCGTTACCGCCCATTTTTAACACCACAACAGCACTTAGCGCCATAAAACTCACTTAACTCGTGTCTAGTAGCGTTGAACTTGTCGAAGGCTCTCAACACCGTATATCTCTTTGTGCTGCTAGAAGGTATTTTGGGATGCTCTTTGCCGTCAATACTCAAATGGTAGATCCCGAATTTTCTTACTGGTTGGCTATTATCAGTAATAATATTTTGGAACCGTGGAAACTCAAGCAGGGGGTCCCACAGGTTGGTGTCCCCTTCATTAGCTTGCTTAATTTCTATGTATATAAACTTCTACGTCCACCAGAAGTAGCTTCACTGATCACATTGATAGACCGTGCCCAAAATTAACCGGTTATGTCTCCGAAATAGCTCCCTTCTTCACGGAAAAAAGTCGAATGCTCTCATCCGCCACGAAGTGTACGGCAACCATTTTTACCACCTGGACCGAAGAGGTTTGGCTATGGCTGCGAATTCTCGTCGACGGCACACCAATTCCGACTTTGAACAACCCAAGGTCACTTTCGGCAGTATGACCTCTTTCTCTGCACACACAACTGCAATGGGCTACAAAGTGCTGAACTAAGTACCGAGCCACAACAACGTCCTCAAGTCGCTTGCCGGTGGCACCTGGGGCAAAGGCAAAGAAACGTTGCTGGCAACACTTAATGCAATTGTTTGGTCAGCTCTGAGCTACGCTGCACTAAAATGCTCACCGAGAACGAGTTGCACACAGTAGACGAAGCTAGAGAACTCTGCTAGGCATATTGCAGTAGCTTAAACTATTTTTTTTTTAACTACGCAGCTTATGCCCAGCATGTGAAGGTGCTATTGCACAGACTTGAGGAAAATGTGAACTTGATTTTAGTGCTACGGATTTGTTAGTTAACGGTCCCCATTACTTGATATACCAATTTCTTATTTACGCTGATTATTTTTGCTCTAGAAACCCCCAAATACGAGCTTTGCTGAAACTGCTTTGCAAAAATGAGTCCACCGAACAACAATCTACAATTAGTTCTGATTGGAGTAATTTGGAGAATATTATCATGAACGTAGGTGTTTAAAAGACAAAATATACTTGTTGCTAATATTTCTCTGCAAATTATGCGCTACAGATTTCTCAACCGTGCGAAGATATGATGGTAGCTTGTCGCTTCGCGGCGAATGAATATGACTGCACCAAATACTTTATACCGATCATTACCGATGAGGGACTCTGCTGCGTATTCAACATGGTACATCCGAAGTTTATGTTCATTTCACAGTGAGTTTACGCACTAAAATTTGTCTCATAGCTTGAACTTTCATCCCCCTTTTAATTGTACGCAGCACACCGCTTAGCATGAGCAATATTCCCGAACGTGAGTATCAGCCTATTGATTGGTACGCAGAGCGAGGCTATCCACCCGATTTACCAAACAAATACTATCCTCGTCGCATAGCGGGCACAGGCGAATCGCTGGGTCTGTCCATCACGCTAGACGTCGAGGCTGACAAATACTACTGCTCTTCGACGAATAGTGTCGGTTTCAAGATCTCACTGCATAGCCCAAACGAATCGCCAAATGTGCACGAGACTGGCGTGCTGATTGCGCCCGGCAAGGAGACTAAGGTGCGCGTGCGTCCCGATAAGACGGAGACCACGCAAAAGTTGCGCTCCATAGCTGCCAAATACCGGCGTTGCCTGTTTCACGACGAACGACAGTTACTCTATTTTGCGCACTATACACAGCGCAATTGCGAAATGGAATGCATTGCGGAAATGTTGCTGCAACATTGTGGCTGCATTAGTTTCTACATGCCGAAAATCTATAAGAATGCGACGATATGTAACATCCACGACATGCACTGTGTGGAGATGGTGCGTTTGCGTAAGGATCCTACGATTGGCTCGTGTTTGGACACCTGCTGGCCGACTTGTTATGACTTGACCTTCCTGGTAGATGTCTTTGCTATACCGTTATCGAGTGATGGATTCTTTATTGAAAACAAGCGCGTACAACGGTACAATAGGAGCTATGCCAAGCAGAATATCGCCGTGGTGAATATGTATTTTAAAGAGTATTCCTTTCGGAGTAGCATACAAACAGAGTTCATAGGCACGACGGACTTTTTGTGTAGGGAAGCACAAATGTATTTAGTTAATTTAGTTAATTACGTAATTTGTTACTTTTTTTCTTTTCTGAATGATAGCTGCCGTTGGTGGACTAATGGGCCTGTTTCTGGGTTTCAGTTTTATCTCAATAGTTGAACTAGTCTACTATGCCATCATACATCCCATACGCTCCCTGTTACATTTCGAATGCGCCAAGAAGTCATCTGTGGCTGCGGATAAGCTGGCCACTTGTGATAAAACAACGATGTGCCGACAATGGTCGTCGGTTCAACGGTATAAACGATTGCGCAAATACTTACGACTACGTGCAATTTACAGCAAAGCAAACAAGGCAATGAAGAAAAAGTTAGGCTATAAGCGGTTGGTCAGCAGTACCGTTAAACATGATGCCGAACCCTCGCAGAAGGAAGTTGAAATAAGAAAGTAGATTTTGGAATATTCAACGGAAGGAGGAAATGCTTAGCGATAATTTCGCAATTTGTATGCGCCTAATACATTAGTTAATTCTCATTAAGTGTAAGTTTTCTAAAATAAATTTTTAGAATACATTTTTCTTTTACTAAGTTACTAAAGCGTATACCATTTTGACCAAAAAGGGGTGACAACTTGAACCCATTGTGCAGAGTTTTAGCAGTAGCCTATAGTATTAAACACTGCTCCGCCACGAAACAAAAATTTTTATTAGCGATTTCAATGCCAGCAAGGCCAATAAATACATCCTCCGACACGATTTTGCACCCATGAAAAAATTAAGCATTTTCGGAAAGTAGCGACAAAAAACAGCGCCCCTATTTTGCCGTTTTTCTAGACTATTTAATCATTTACTGTTTCTCTGGGGGGAAACAACCCTTAAAAACCCCTACGCTGAATCGGTCAGTGGAATATTGCCCTGTGATTTTTTAAACCTCATTAAACTTGGCCTTCAAGAGTTTTGGGATTGCTGATTACGAGTCGGAAGTCAGTTTTTAAAAATTCAAAATGGCGGATCCAATAATTTCGCAGTTTTATGAAATTTTATATCCAAATATTTTTTGAGTCGCTTATTACAAAATTGAAACAGTTTTCAAAAATTCGTGGATTAAAAAAAAAAATGTTCAGATTTTTATGAAATTCGATATCCCAAGACTCCTTGAGTCGGTGATTCAAAACTCGAGACCGTTTTCAAAAATTCAAAATGGTGGATGAAGTTGTGGATAATTACAAAAACTAAACTCAAAATTGCAAAACCCAAATGTGTAAGTCAATCGCTGATCTGCATCAACTAATTCATAGACTATTACTGTACTAAAACGATAAGGACATCGATCTTAAAAATTAAACATTTATGCAATACTTCTGACTCAATTTTGAACCTATAAAAACAAATTTTGAAATTAAAAACTTTATAAACATGTATTGTGTATCAATTGGATCCTATCAAATAATCAAAGTCATGGGTATAATGATGCTGAAGGTTCTGACCCTTCGTTTTTTAGGAAGTCATATAAGAGAAGTGTTAGTGGATATCTTAGCTACATACATACATAAGTATTTACATTAGGCATATGACTTATTTCCGAAAATTTAATTTGCATACATACATATCAGGAGATAAAAATTACGTTTTTGTCAAAATTTGGTACATAAAGTTGCACTCCGAGGAAGAACGATTTTGGACTCAAAAAAAAAACATACATATAGGGAAGTTTCCATAAGACCGCGATCGAAAATTTGTTTCTAAAATTTTTTATTTTTTATTTTTATTTTTTTATTATTATTTTATTTTTTATTATTATTATTTTTAATTCGGTTGGGATGGAATTTGCAATATGCAAATGTATATATGTCTTTTTCAGTAAACATTTTTTCGGATTTTTTTTACCAAATTTTGACATAAACATTATTTTTGTTTGTTTTTTTTTTCATTCCTCACAAGACGCAATTGCTATAACAGCTGACTTGATTCGGCTGGGTACATAAATGTCAAAATTTCATGCTTAAGGAGTGAGATAAAGTGCGAGTATCTGTATTTTCTTACCCTCTTTTCCCTTAAAAGAAGAATAGCCGAAATTTAATTAAAAAAAACTCATAGGCCTAATGTACATGTACTGAGGTTTACTTTAGATTTTAGTGTATACTAAGACATGTACATCTATGTGTATGTATGTTTCAGAGTTCATTTATGTAATTAGCAAGAAAAATACTTCAGCTAATATCCACTTAGCCTACAGTACGTTAAGTTAGAGCAATCAAAGTTTTACTAAAACATAAATATGGTCATCGAAGTGCAAGTGCTGCAGGATAATTCTATGCAATTACTTACTTGCTTCGGTGTATGTTACACATTTTTGTTCATAAAATCAAAAGTAGTGGCCAAAAAAGCTTAACAGTTTCTTGGAAAGCGGTGATCAGAAAAGGTTTACTAACTGTAACAAAACGCTTGATATTGGCAATGGAGTCGCAAATAAAAACCATGAAAGTAATAGAAAAGCCTCCGAATTTATTCTCAAAAACATTTTTGAAAGATAAATCTAGCAAAATCAAGGTATTTTCGCAGAAAAACTTTAAAGATTATTGCGAAGATACTACAATACATGGACTAAAGTATGTAGGGAATAGCAACCTTTTTCTACTGGAAAGGTAAGACTGTATCAACTACACATAGTGTACGATTTTTTTTATTTTACGAATAAGTTGAGCTTGGATTTCGTTTTAAAAAATTGATAATGTACGGTGGCGAAAATGTAAATAGGGACGTTTGAACAAGTGTCGGCTATTTTTCTTTTGTTTATTATTCTTTTTTTATGAAGGTATAGCTTGTTATTTCAAATTTGTACGAAAGTTAATAAAAAAAATCAACAAAATTGCAAAAAAATTTTAAACTTTTAAATCAGAATCTTTAGAAAAATTGTGGGTATGCAGCTTTATAGCCAATAAAGTTTTAGTACAATAAGGTGCAATTTTTGGCAAATTTTTTTTTTTGGCGCTGTTACGCATTTTTTCCATACAAAGTGTGTTCCACAATTATTTATATGGAGAAAATGTGCAACATCTTAAAAAAAAATTGCCAAAAATCAACGGTAAGCCCTTGCAATTTCAAGCGGCACTTTACTATATGTACTGAAATTTAATGGGCTACAAAAATGCATGCATACAAAACGTGTTTAAGAAATCTTATTAAAAAGCTCGTAATTTTAATGAAACTTTATCGAATTTTCATAAATTTTTAACTAGGTTTGATATTCAAACTTACACTGATTTTTATTTGATGCTTATTTAAATTAAAATATCCACAGGCAACAGAACTTTCAAATTGCAGTTAATTTTTAACGATTTTTTTTTTTTGGTTTTTTAGAATATTTTTTGCAATATCGTTTATTATTGTTGTGCTGGGTGCAGCTTTCTTCGTCGGGAAAATCTACGAAAAGTGGACTCTTACGCCGGTGATTGTCACCATTAATTCAAACCCTACCTCTATAACTCAAGATCCATTTCCAGCTGTAACTATTTGTAATTCAAATCAAGCTTATAAGCAAAAAGCTGAACAATTTTCAATGTAAGTATACATCTTTTTTTCATGAAAGTCTATGCACTCGTTTATGAAATTTTATTATGAGAGGTCTAGATCCAGGCACTTTTTATGATACCTCGATACATATTTAAAATACTCGTAACTTGATTTTTTTGTATATTAATCCTGAAATTGAAAAATCAATGCTTATGAAATGATTTTTCAGGTTTCTCAAAGTTTTTCTTCCAAAGGATTTTTTTAGTTGTACCTACTCAGGTTAGTTTCCTTTGAGATACCGCATAAGGTTTGCGGTTATCCCCGTTAACCTATAAACCACTTGGTGCTGAGCAAAAAAGTATATAAGCTTCTAACATCCATCGCTTTGAGATCATCGAGATCATAGAAGAAATAATTGCCACGAGCTTTTGCTCTGCTCATCCTTTCATCGCTAAAAATTTTTAACCCTAAGTTACTTAGGTGGCCGTACCACCTTCACGATTTCCTTAATTATTTGTCAGCTCAAAGAAGGGCCTATTTTTTGTGTGTAACTTATGTGTAACACTTCACAGCTGCTCTTTCGTAATTAACCGAAACAAACAAACAAAAAAAGGAAATTATATGTTGTTATCTAACGAGATTCGAACCCGGACCTTTCTGAAAGCTAACAAATAATAGCAAACATCTCTGCGCCCTCAGCTACAGGACCCTTCCTAACTCTCTCCTTCACAGTCCTTTTAAAAAATTTAAAAAAATATTCCGAGGTTTTCACTTTTAAGGAGAGATTCTGACTGCTATAGTTCCCTCTAATCTCGTCAGAGAACAAATGGAGGCGGACCTTAAAATGCCGCCTAGTTCTGCTTCGATCTACTCTGGTTGGCAGGAATTTGCTGAAATAAGTTATGATAACACTGTAGGGACGCTAAAATAACACAAAAAAAAAGCCGGGACACGTCAACTTAATTTTGGGGGCGTATATTATGGATCTGTATATCGTTTATCTAGATCAGGTAATTTTCCTAAGATATTTTAATTTTTGCGAATGAAGAAAAATTAAAAATTTTGCGTGGAAAATGTTACTCATACGTCGTCATTGGCCTAGCCAGGTAAGGGCAGGGGTGAGCTGGAGTCCCCCTAATATTCGAGTTTTCCCTATATGTATAAAAAATAGTACCCTGAAATTCTAGCTTAATAGTGTCATAAAAATGAAAATATCTTGGGAAAATGATCTGATCTGGATAAACAGTATACAGGTCCGAATTCTCTGACTTAAAATAAGGTTTATGTGTCTCGGTGTTTTTTTTTTGTGTCATTTCAAAGCTTGAGATTTTGCCTACGGTGTAATAAAATCGTGGCCAAAAGCGACAACCTTTATCCTCCGTGCCCTCTTTACATATTATTATTCCTCTTGCTTTATAAGCTTAAGCGATTTCTATATAGTTTAACTAAAAACGCGGATGATTTTGCACAAAGATTTTAAGCTTTCTAGTTTTTAAGATTATACAGAAGTAAATAAAACCGAAATTGCTTCGGATGTTCTTTCCTTATTTTAGTTATTCGACTGAATATGCGATGATACAAGTGTTGTGCAATCGTAAAGTGAATGCCACCATTGCGAGTTCGATTACGGATTGGAGCAATTTGCAAAATTTCATTACCGATGTATGGACGGTATAGTATTTTAGAATTACATGCTTGCTAGCAGTGTGTTTGCTGGTAAGAGATCATACGCTAAACAAAATTTAAGTTTCCTCCCAAGAATGGAGCTACATATGAGCCGTTTGACTTCTGTGGTCATTTGTTATTCGTTCAACTTCATCAGCCAAAGGTAAAAAGTTTTGTCATGAACAGAGAACAGATTTTTAGGGCTAAAAAATCGAAATTCACTCAAAATCGGACAAAAGGCATAAAAAGGCAAGAAAAAGGCACTAAAACCGAAAAATAAGCAAATAGAGACATTTATTTTAGAAATGTTTAATATGAAAAACTGTGATTGAATTTTTTCTTCATTCGACTTTTAACTCTCTATAGTTGCAGTAACATTGCACCACAGAATACATCATTATCAGGAAGAAAATCCTCAAATGTACATTAGGGCGGGTCAGTTTGTGTAGGATATTTTTTCAACTATACGTTTATGGCGCAGAAATATTCTACGTGTGATTCTAAGAAAATTTGCGAAAGAAACCATAGGTCTAAAATCAATTTGGAGTATGTCAAATTGCGAAAATAGGTTTCTTAGCATTTTGCTGTAATGTCGTAAACAAGTGCTTAAATTTTGTATAAAAAATGCTATAAGGAGTTTTGGTATGAGGAATCGATTACTGCACTTATCTTTTTCTTACAACTTTCAAAGGAGGGCGCAACAGCGAAAATTTTCACATTTTCTACGAAACCTATTTTCGCAATTTGGCAAACTGCAAATTTATTTTAAACCCATAGTTTCTTCTTCAAATTTGCTTAGAATTACACGTATGCTATACGTGCATAGGTAAGAAAAAATGACCCTCCCTAATGTACACACTAAACGTGCGCTCGATGTAAGCTAAAAGCAAATTGTGTCTAATTTGGTATATATACAGAATGCCCATAATTCTCCAATTAAAAAAAAACATAGAAATCAATGAGCTGATCATAGCGTATACTTTATTTTTGTGGGAAAGAAGAACTAGTATACAAGAATTATTAAAGGTCAATAAATATCAATTCCAAGTATCCCAAAAGCTGTTCGTTGATTTTAAAAATTTGGATTTGGATAACGTAGCCGGTGTTGGACCGACCAGGTTTATTTTTTATTTTATGCTCGGCTCAGTGATTCACAGAAATATTTTGCACAGATTTTTTTTACGATATCAAAAATTTGGTCATGGTAAATTTTTTATAAAAAATATAGCTTATTCTACATCAAAAACCATTACAAACGCTGGAGAAAATAAAGTACAATTTAGCAACTTTTTCTAAAAATTTAAAATTTATTGATTACATTTTTTACGAAAAATTCGAGTGTGTAGTTTCGTACCAAGAAATTTTTTTATAAAAATATATTCTACATCAAAAACCATGACCATTTCAAACACTGAAGAAAATTAGGGAAAATTAAGCAAATTTTCGTAAACAATTCAAACTTATTGATTACATTTTTACGAAAAAATCGATTGTGTAGTTCCATTAAATTTCATTAGTGTTGAGTATATTTTTCCATAAAAAAATCGTTATATGGAAGAAAATAGTCAACACTGCTAGTAAAAAAAATTTTCCTAAATCAACGGATTGAAAAGTTTGGAGTTTTGTTAAAAATGTGCCGAATCTTCCCCTATGCTCTCCAAAGTTTAAAATTTTGATTTTTTGTAGAGTGAGATTAGGGTTGTTCTTAAAATATCAACATCATAGAACACGCGTAGAACAAAATAAATACATCCACGAAAATTTTAAAACTCAAGGGTCGCTATAACTCAGCAACTTTGTGAATATACATGAACAAGTTTCAATAATATGTAAAATTTAGCAGATTTCAAGTCAAAATTTTATCGAACTTTTGCGATGTAAAAAAAAAATATTTTTTTAAAAATCGCTATTTTTTGTACATAATTTATATTTTTACGGACCACCCTAATATACATACATATATATTTTTTGTCGTCGCACTTTACAAATTTTATTAACGGCTATAAGGTTGGACGAAAAAACGAAGTGGATTTTTTCCAAAACCAGTTGGGCTGTAGGCCCGGCGCTCCAGTCAGCCGTTTCTGAAATATATTCAAAATATTTAAATGTTACCTATACAGCTGTTTTCATATATGTACTAATTTTTCGCAGCGCTGTTCTAAAGTGTTGGCATTAATTTTTAATATTAAAATTGTTGAATAGGACCCAGTCGCTTAATTAAAGGCAAATGTGCTGAAAAAGGCAACATCAAATGTGTACATTAAAAAAAAAACGAAACTTCCACAAAATCCGTTCTCTGCGCAGTACCCCATGCCTCCATTTTCTACTAAATGTGTCTTAACATCTGTCAAATTTCTGTTTTAACTTTGTCCCGTTTTCTCATGTGGGCAACTTTCTGTCTTAACATATCGCTTTCGAAATGGCATCAAGCCAATCAGATCGATCTGTACCCAAAGTAGAAGGCGCGGTAAAATAAAAACTGAGTTGTCAAACTACAAAATGACAGCTGACGTTAAGACAGCGATGGTAAGAAATTCGGCAAGACAGATATGGTTTAACAGTAGAAATTTGCGCTCTCCACCTGACATTTCTGTCTTGCCACAGCTTTTTTAACAGAATCTGTAGAAGGTGGAGACGTGGGGTTAGTTTATGTCAGTGGAGCGATTTATAGATGCTTTCACTTATGTAGAAGTAACCAACCGTTTCTTTCAAAATAAACGGCTCATATTATCGAATCTGAAATAGGTATGGCTTTACTTTGTTCGGCGTAAGATTTGGTTCTGTTTGAAGTAAGCAGACAAAGGAAGTAAACTTTATCGAAATGTGGCACGCTCGCAGCAAACGCGCGCTATAGTTCTCAAGCAAGCATCAACTTAATTCCAGAAAAAAATATAAATCATAATTTATTTAGTACATATGTATTTATTTACCAATACTTAGATCTCACAACCCTGCAGTAAAATGTTGCTATTCTGCCAGTTTGGTGGCGTAAAATACAATTGCTCCGAGCTTTTTCACCCAATCATAACTGACAGCGGAATGTGCTGCGTCTTCAATGTGGTAACCCCGAACTTCGTATATAAAGCGTTAAGTCTACTTTTTTTTTTAATAATTTTCTTAGATGCACACATACATATCTAACTTTCACACATCACTTTTACTTACTGCAGTAGAGGGAACGTGAAATGTGATGTGGCTAAATGTCCACTGCCAAATGGAACTGTTGCAGTTGATTGGAGTCCGGAGCGCGGCTACCCTGCCGTATTACCAGAATCCTACAGTCCAATGCATGCAGCGGGCACGGGCGAATCCTTGGGCTTAAAACTGATGTTGGATGTTGAAAGAGATTCCTATTATTGTTCATCAACGAATAGTGTCGGCTTCAAGATACTGCTGCATAATCCACTCAAAGTGCCTAATATGCGGGAAATTGGTCTACTACTATCGCCCGGCCATGAGACTAAAGTGCGCATTCGGGCATCTAAAACAGAATCTACGCAACATTTACGTTCGTTGAATAAGGAATCGCGTGCTTGTCTTTTCGAAGGTGAATATGTTTTGCATAATTACAAAACGTACACGCAACGCAATTGTATGGAGGAATGTTTCGAAAAAATGTTGTTAAGATATTGTGGATGTATTACCCATTATATGTTCGATATTTATACAAATGCATCCATATGCAGCATATACGAAGCCTCGTGTGTGGAACGAGTGCGATTGCAGTCAATGGTGTCTGGAAATGGCAAAGGCTGTGCAAACAATTGTTGGCCTGCCTGCTATGATCTCACCTATTGCCCAGACTTTTTCATCACACCACTATCAGAATCAGGATTTCATATTATGCATCAGTTGGAAAAGAGTAAAGATACATCTTATATGCTACAAAATATAGCTGTGGTAAATATTTACTTCAAAGAAAACTGGTATAGAAGCAGTAAGCAGGCGGAGTATGTTGGTATAACGGAATTCTTGTGTAAATGCAAGCTACTTAAAAATACTACACTGAGGGAAATAATGCATATGCATACTAAAAATTAATACTTTACTTTTCGTTTAAAAATGTTCGTTTTAAAAAATAATATTTTCATACAAAAATTTAGCACTTAGAAGTAACCAAGTGAGGAAGTACATTTCGGAGTTCAATTAAATATGCATGCACCGATTTCCAGAGAGGGTCAGTGTTCGAATTCTATTGCAGGCAATACGCAAATAAAAATTTAATTGAATATTTACCTACATACAGTACTTTCGTTGACGTTTATAGTAATATATCAATTACGTTTCTATTTGATTTTCATATTTTTTTCCCTCAGTGTACATATTGACTTAAGCGATAGCAGAGTTTTGCTAATTCTTTTTTTGTTTTTATTTGCAGCAAATATTGGCGGTGTTATTGGATTGTTCTTTGGTTTCAGCTTCATATCCGTGGCGGAAATCATTTTCTATTTGCTACTAAAGCCCGTTCGCGTGTTGATCCTTCTGCTTTGGTCAAAACGTACAAAGTCCGCCAAAGTGCGAAAATTGCAAAATTTAAAGCTATTCGAAAAGCAGTCAATGAACGACTAAAGCTTGTTAGAGCTGAAAAAAACATGTCAACAAAAGTGCGTAGGTACATAAAATAACGCAAAGCGAAATTTTATGATAGCATCATCGGCGGTTTCCTACCAAAATAGTACGATCATTTCGAAACAAAATCTAAAGTGTTATAATACCAATATCCATGAATGTATGTATGTATGCACATAATTGTCAATTGGACATATTCAATTCAATCTATATAAATACTTCTATTAAAAGAAATTAATGAAACATTTTTCTTAAAGTTTTTCTTTGCTCTAGGCAGGTTGTTATTGAAAATTAGACAAATTGGCCAATAATTAGGCCCACCTTCCATAGAATGATATTAAAAAAAAAAAAGTGTGTTGTCCCTATGCGCGGAGGAAGTGAATCTTAACCTCAATCATTAAATTTGTGGGCTCTTTAAATGCTTCAGTTTTTCGCGTAGTATCGTCGGGGGCTTATTCGCGTTACTTGGAGCAAACAGCAGGATTACATACATGCGCCGGTTCACCCCTTCGCCGCTGGATTGGAACAGCTCAGTTGGTGTTCCGTTATCTTTAGAACGATTTTTGTTCGTAAGCCTCATTGTGGCTGTTTTAACAACGTTTTGATTGACTGGAGCCTGGGCCTTCGGCGTGCCATTAAAAACCATTGTGATGCGCTTCTACTTACCTATATCTTAAGTGTACTCTCTATATCTTCATGTACCTTGAAATCATTTCATTTTTGCCTTATTTTTATATATAATTTACTAATCACATTCTTGGCCGCCAGCTATTTACCTCCTTTACGAAAATAAGTTTCTCCTATTTCCTACATGAGGTCTAGCTCCACGACAATCCCTGTCATACCAGTTGTTTTTTCATTGGTAGCAGTTGCCAGCCATGTCTTTCGCAAGGCGAATAGATTAGGCGATCAAATCCCACTACTCATTTACGAGTATGCACTTTCCATACAATTCAAGCAAGTGCAGATTTGATTTAGAGGAACGCACAGGTCACCTAGCTACCGCGACAGAAATGATCTACTGTACCAAATTCCATTCGGTTACAGGTCATCTTCGATCCACATACTGCTAAGAAACCGCGCGAGGTCCTTTGGCTGAATGCCATTTAGGTCGTGCCCTTCTGGGTAGGGTGATCACAGGAAGCGAAATCTAGTCCTAGTGAGGGCTACACCGTGCCACACCGAGTGCTCTGCTGTTCTTCGTTGCGCAACCTACACTGATTAGAGTTTATAACTCCTATGTTCGACAACTGTTTCATTACTCTTCGGTGGCTGTAAGAAAACCTATAATAATTTTTACTTTATGCCTACTAAGGTGAAAAGTCCTTCGGTTCTCCTTGTTGATATGTCCGGATAGAAGGACTTAGCCAGTCTTACTGCCTTAGACATAGTTCAATGGCGTACACCTCGGCCTGCAGACAGAATTACCTTGCCCCATGCTGGTGAAAAGGACCCGTAAATTTCTGCTCCGATGCCGTGGTCAGTCTTGGAGCCGTCATTATACCAGATGAGGCTGTCCTTCCGTGGGTAAGGTCGTTCGTTGTCCCAGTGTAAGGTAAAATCACGGGAGGCGCAGGTCCAAAAAGTTAATGCAAATTTAATGCCCTATAAGAATATGCCTAGAAAAACGGTTCAATAGTTATAACATTTTTAACGAAAACAAATTTTTTTACATGGTATTTATTTACATGGAAATTTTCAAATGTTCACCGACACCTTTTAAAATTCGAATACAAATTTTGGTTCTAATGGGGGAATTTTCTTCTCAAAAAATTGCTCCTTTTAAGGTCATAAATAAGTAAGGTTAGTTATTTTGGGTCACCCTAATGTACATTGGTAAGTAATTTACTTTTAAGAGCCCTTAAAATTATAGTTTTTTTTTGAATTCTCATGTCTGAAGACACCCAGCGTAATTAGGCAGCGATGTTTATGCTATATTTCCTTATAAGTAATTTTATTTTATTTCACAATAATTTGGTGGTGTACACTGCAATTTTGCATTCGAATGTTAAATGGAACAAAATGACCGGTTCACTGCAATTAATGAAAAGTTCTTGATTTGCTTTTTAAGGCATACAAATCTACGTACATACGTACATATTTAAATACTATGTACATATGTATGTATCTCATCAACTTCCAATTACACCACTTCAACTTATAACTGTTTTTATGCGCATACATATCTGCAATTATGAATTAGTTTACGAATTTCTGCTTGAGTGATAGTGCCTGGTAATAATTCATACTGCCTTGAGAAATACTTCCATTAATGGCTTTATTATATAGCTAGTAAAAAATGCATGAATTTTCCCTATGGGTACATACATACATACACCTATTGAAGTATCGAGACAAATATGCGATTGATCACCCGTGCGTTGGGCAATCGCAATGGAGTCGTTGAAGAAAGTGGAACATTTCGAAGAAGAGCACAATATAGCTATGAAAAACTACGGTATAAGTAATAAAAGTTTATTGCAAAAGAAATTTTATAAAATCAAAACTGTTCTAAAAAAAAATATAAAAGATTATTGTGAGAATACTTCGATACATGGACTAAAATATGTGGTGAATAAAAATCTATATCCAATCGAAAGGTATGTACATATGTATGCATTTATGATCATGTGCATATACAGTGATCGAAGAAATTATAGACGCGCCACTTTTTGACAAGTTTAGCATTTTGTTTTTTGTTATTGTTTTGTATAGTTCATTCTTTAACAATTTGTAAAAAGTTTAAATTCTTATACCACCGTGTGTAATCTTCTTTTAAAATTCTGCTGTTCCACAGGAAGAAAGAGTTTTCCCATTAAAACGGAATCATTGATGTTCCTACCGTGTTCTTTTTAATTCGTCTCTCTTCTTCTTGATATACCCGTGACCCGTTGATGTGCCTAGGATATCTGTGGAGCTTAATCAATTTTGCGCTTCTCTGTATTCTCACTAATTTATTAAGTCATCTAAAATGTACATAAGTAGAGGGGTATGTAAATATCTTGATTCCAGCGCCATCTGTGTTTTGGGTCCGCTTTTTGCAGAAGCATTTATTATCATAATACCCGTTAATCCAGGTCGTACGTTGAGACGGACTCTCTAAATATCTCGACTACAGCGCCATCTTACGGCACAATTTTTTTGCAAAAGTATATTTTATGATGCAGAGCATCCGCCGACGTTCGGGGTAAACAGATAAAAATATAAACCCGTAATGCCGAATTTCCACTAGGCATTAAAATGACAACAAGATTGGCAGCA